GAAGCAGTTTGGCTTTGCTAGATTGGTCAATATTGGCATTCCGCCATCAGATATCGACGGAGCCTTTGAGACAGTTGAGCAATCTTGTGTGCATTGAAATGCAAAGCGTACGCTAACCACTCGCTAGAGTCGAGAGTTTTTCCAGCTGCCTTTGGACCAGAAACTGAAGTCTCCCCACCCTCCCACAGCAAACCCCCACCGAGGTTACAGTGCATTCGGCATTGAGAATGTCTCTGCCGTCTCAAACCATGGCACGTCTGTACTAAGGCCCCTGCTTAAGGATATGAAGGTTTGCCAGCTAGCACCGGACTTTCACAGATTTCACACTCTGATAACCAATTCGCTCGACTAGGAATCATATGACATTGGATCACCACAAGATGCACTTTATGGCAACATATGGCCGCCACCCGGTGTGCACGACGCATTTCAGCCCACTTTCACATCATTCTTTTCAAGTTGCTATCGCGCCGAACTAGCCATTCTTGAAGCCATTTCCGTTGGCCTAGGGCTCCCCAGGCAGACTCTGAGTCAGCTGCATTCTGAGCAGTCAAACGAACTGCGCTTGACGCATTATCCTGCCGTACCACGTGGCGAATTTTCCCACTCGACTCGTATTGCAGCTCACACTGATTTTGGCACCATTACTATATTGTTCCAAGACGACGTCGGTGGATTGCGTAAGAATTATGTTCAATTTTGTTTCCCAGTTGGCGCAAATCTCCCCCACTTTCCATGCGCTTTCTTTGCCTAAGCTAGCCTTAATGAAGAAGCTGCTAACGGTTTCCCTAGAAATGGAGCTGCCGTCCGGAAGTGGTGAATTTGTTGATATCGAGAGTGGCGGGCGTTACGAGTGTATACTCAATGTGGGAGATTGTCTGCAGATGTGGACCGGATTATGCAGCGCTCGGCATCGTGTACACTTGCCTGTCTTATTAGCGCAGGAAGATCAGACGAGACCAATGCAGGATACGGTGGAGGAACGCTTTTCCATTGCGTATTTTGCGAAGCCTAATCGAGCGGCGAGTTTACGCCCATTGCTACACGACACAGCGAAAGCAAAAGATGTGTCATTTATGACAGCGGGCGAGTTTCAGCATATGAGAATCTCAGGAACATACTAGCATTCTTCGTAGGATAGGATAAGATGTAATTTGAAGGAACCCATCTTGAAACAATTCATCGAAAATGCCAGGAGGTTGCGTAGAGCAGTTCTCCAGCTACCCATTCCGGTTTAATAGAAGCGCATCGCCCCTCACGAGCATGGATCCCACGAAGCCAAGAATATAACACGCCATGCCGATAACGAATGGCAATCCGAGATACAACTTATTATCCCACCCAATGGCAATTGCAAAGGATCGGTTGAGTATAAACGCACCAGCGGCTGATCCTATACCATCACAAACCGCAATAATAGCATAAAGAACAGAGATATGCTCACGCTTAACTAGATCGGTTAGCAGAGACTGTAGAGCTGGCCTTGTGCTGCAACCAAGTGTGAATACGAAAAGCCCTGCGAGATTACAGTTAGCCGGATGCGAGTAAGTTGAGGGAGTAAATAATCCCGACCTGCAATAAAGGCCGCCAATGATTGAGATACCGCCATAATGATGCAGCCAGCGCTCATGAACAAAAAGCCATACTGGGCAATGAATAGGTCCGCTTTTGCAGATACAATATGGAGCCTGACTTCAAAAACTCTCTTCAGGATTGGTAGAATGACGATAAGAATGATCAAACTTTCGATTGCTTGAATAGACAACGCTCGACTAGCCTAGCTACCAGTGAGAAAATAGGCCAACGTAGGAGGAAGGATGTGGATCTGTAACTGACTGAGGCAAGCGATAGGTCAAATTTTTTAGCAATATACTGAAGCATTAGTTCGGTAACAGGGTTCACGAGCTTGGCCACAGGGACTGTAACGAGTAGTGCAACAACATTACTGTCTTGCAAAAGTTCCGAAAGAACGTGGCTGCTGCCTCGAATAGACCCAAGAACCTTTGTTGCTGATCCTCTCACCGACTCATACCCATCTCTTAGTAGTGGAGCGGCAGGATGAGTCGCGCAGGGGCGGATGATAGAAAGCGTGGCAAGGCATAAAAGGCCAACAGGAAAATTTATAATCATGAGCGTAAATAGAAGATTATGGTCAAGTAATTGCGCCGCTACCGTGATTGATATGATTTCGGTCAGGAGCTGTGCAGCCATGAAAAAAAAGAAACACAGAGATCTGTGGGTACAGTTAGTGCGTCCATAGCCCCAAATTGGATGCTGGCGTGGGGGACTTACCTGCTGGAATCCGGAGTACTTTTCGCTGCAATTGAGTATATGATTGATGAGAGAATTGGTGATCCGCCACCAATTATCCTGAATAGCGGTGCTAGCACGGCGCTCCATATGGGGAAAAACTGCCAACAGTAGCAAACCACGATAATCCATGCGCAGGAGAGCAAGTATCCTATAACGTTGATCCCAGCAACCAGGCGCTCTCCAATGCGGTCAACAAGCAGGCCGTATGGGAGTGTAAAGACTAGACCAACAATGGCTTCCAAAGCTGCCAAATAGCCACGTAGGTGTGCGAGCCGCTGCTGAATGCTTGGTAGCTTGCAGAGATGCTCTGGAATGTTGCGATAATATTCTTCAGATTGGGGGTCGCTTTGGAGAAAATGCTCACGACAAATGCCGAGTTCGACAAGACGAACTGTTGATATATATCTCAAGATGTCGGCGAATGCATATAGGACGAGAAAAGTTGCTGCCAAAGCGGCATTCTGAATAGCAACTTTGCCCCATTCGAAGATGTCTGCTTTCTGTTGCTCTCTGCTCTCTGTATCTTCATCAGATGCCTGTATGAGAGGTGAAGACTCTGGGCCATCATCTGGTGCAGGCATTGTCAACCGTTATCTGGAAGTTCCATTACCACCTAGAATGTTTTCTTTCTCGTCTTGGTGATCCGAGCTTTGTTTACGGAACCCTGCTGTTCTTCTTCCCCATGTGGAGATCCGCCTTTATAGTTGGCCGATAGGTAGAAATAAGACAGCTCACGCTTCTCCAAGATTTCGTATACGAGTACCTAGTACGGGGCTATTATCCAGAACAAAACCACAAATAGATTAGGGAGGTGGATGCCCAAGGATCATCTCTCTCGAGCAATGAAGGAACCTTTGTTAAAGCCCGGGAGCTGCGGAGACGACGTGTGTAGCGTAGCTTTGGACCATCGATTCGATACCCTCTGTAATACAAGACTTACATGGTTGGCATTTAGAACGACCCCCATGAACAGTAAGATTTTGGCCAAATCAAGTCTATTACGCAATTCAATAAGGGAGTTATTAGATGGTACATAATCGAATATGGAAATTAAGACTTTGTTTAGTGCATCTCTCTTTTGTTGAAGTAAGATCAGGAAACTGCAATACGCAACATCGTTCGCATTGAGTATATCGCGCCCAGCTATAAGCACCAAAAAAGTGGGTATTCATTTACACCGTCATTTGTCTTAATATCAAGTCAGCACACATTACTGAAGAGTTATCATAGAGGTTATCTTGAAGAGTCTTCATATTACTTTGTTCAATTATTCTGCGCCTAATACACACAAATAGTTCCCGGATGAGACTTTGACACAACCCAATTTGAAAGCTATGGAATCTGGAAAGTCAACACCTAATCAACTCACATTCATAGGAGGCGGATGTCTTGCACAGGCCCTCATAAGTGGAATTTACTCGACAAATAGTAGCTGGAGAGATGGATGCAAAATCTCAGTTACAGCTCGTCGACAGGAGCAGATCGACGAATTGAAAGCGAAGTTTCCCCTTGCTACTGTTACGAATAATAATCTGGACCCGACCATTTGGAGTACGGTCACTTCACAACAATCCGACTCTCATGTTGTTCTTATCTGTACTCTCCCAATAGATGTGCCAAAGATCTGCCTAGAGTTGGCTGGCATCATTAAAACTCTAGATGTAACATCACGGCCAACTGTGGTTACAATGTGTCCTGGAATTTCAGTAGCTCAGCTCCAGACCTGGCTTCCTGAAGAAACTCCAATTGTAAGATCAATGCCTAATACTCCTGTTATGTGTCGTCAAGGAGCTACGGCTTTATTTCCAAGCGACAGAGCACTCTCACGGATAGAGCTTGTCGCCGCCGTTTTCCGCGAGGTATCTCCAGCAATTAGCGTCCTTCCTCAGGAATCTCTACTCGATGTAGTCGCAGCAATATCTGGGTATGTTGCATAATTTTTTTTCATTTCTATTGCTTTGTGGATGCGGAACATGCCGAATATGCAAAGATCATGACGTGCATAACTGGAACGGAAAGGAGCCTACACGTTTTGCAAATAGGTATGCTATATATTCTGTGCTAACTCTTGTCAGTTCCGCCCCGGCACATTTTTATTATCTTATCGAATCCATAATTGCTGCAGCAGAATCTCATGGCTTGCCGACAGATATTGCCCGCAGTTTGATCGTTCAGTCTTGCGTGGGCTCCGGGTTGTTATCGCAGGAAACAGATAGGTCTATACATACATTGAGGAAAGATGTTTGCGTTCCAGGGGGAAGCACAGAGAAAGCCATTAATTATCTCGCGGAAAACAGCTTTCCAAAAATCATACAGGATGCTATTGGAAAAAGTCTACGAGCAAATAGGGAAATGGGGCGTGTTGGTTGAAAATGCAGCCAATACTGTTGGTTGTCTGTCGTTCTAAACGTAACGGTACATATGCCCGCACCTGCTGCTCATTAGGTATATCACTCAACTGTGTTTAAGCTAAGCCACCTTACAACTCTCCGAGGCGGAAGTGCTAGTTTCAGATTAAGAGAATGTGCCTGAGTATACCTATTGGATTGTCCATCTTGACTCGGGCTGTAAGATGTATTTATAATAGATTTAAACAAAGTGATAATTGACATGCTTGTTAGGCGGTTGAGATATGGTATTGTATTTGACCCACCAAAATATTACGGCAAACGCTAAATAAGACACTCCTAGGCCAAATCTTCGATGCTTTGCAGATACACCAGCTCATGGTAGCGACCCTTCTGTTTTATTAGCTGATGATGAGTTCCGCTTTCTACAATACGGCCTTGGTCGAATACGTAAATGACGTCTGCCTTTTGAATCGTACTGAGACGATGAGCCACTGCGATGGTTGTGCGGTCTCGCATCGCAGCATCTAAAGCTGCTTGGACCACTCGCTCTGACTCCGAGTCAAGAGCCGAGGTTGCTTCATCAAGTAAAAGGATTTTTGGATCTCGAAGAAGCGCCCGGGCAATGGCAACACGCTGTTTCTGTCCACCGGATAACATGCCACCCTTGTTACCAACCAGTGTGTCCAAGCCCTCTCTGTAATGCTAGTCAACAAAAGCAAAATTACAATTGGGAAAGAAGAGTGGTTGGGTCGCGGGGAATACGTACGGGAGCGAAAGAATGAAGTCATATATGTTGGCATCTTTACAAACCTTTATCACCTGCTCCTCCGTCACGCTCAGATCGTTGCTGCCGAGGAGAATATTGCTGCGAATAGTGCCTTGATAAAGCGTTGGCTCTTGACTGACGAGAGCAAGATGACTTCGATATGAATTGACATTCAGGTGTGAAATATCCTTGCCGTCGACATAAATAGAACCCGAAAGTGCATCGTAGAAGCGCTCAAGTAGCGCAATCGTTGTACTCTTCCCACATCCACTGGCGCCAACCAAAGCCACGAACTGCCCAGGTTTAACCGTCAGGTTAAGACCAGAAAGCACGGGCTGTGTGGGGCGTGTGGGATATCTGAAGTGCACGTTGCGGAATTCAATAGATCCTGCAACGTTGTCGATGTTATCGCCTTCCTTAGACCATACGTCAATCGAGGGTTTGCGGTCGAAGACATTTTTCAGCTCAGCAGCTGCATTCTTGGCTTTTCCGATATCTGGAGCGTTGGAGAAGACTGAGCCTGCGGCTTGAGCGCCATATATGACTTCGCTGAAGCAGACGAAAAATTGGAAAATGGTATACTCGTGCTTACCGAGTAGTGTGCCACCATACCAAAATCCCAAGGCCATGCAAAAAAAAGTAAGTGCTTGTGATAACGCATAAAAAGTCGAGGACTTCAGCACGGAAAAAAAACTAGTTCGTGCTTGATCATCTAGCTGGGCTTTGTAGGTGGCGAAAACATCGTCTTCACGACAGAGCGAAGCCACTGTGCGGATAGCCGAGGTTGCCTCGCAAGCATAGCTGGCGGACCTTTCGTAGGCCTTCTTGGACTGGGCTTGGAATCGAGCTAGCATCGAGACCCTGCAAAAGCCACAAAACAAGAGTACAGGCACGATGGAGATACATACTAAAGCCAGTTTCCATCCAATGGCTAGGGCAACGACCATTGATGCCGTCAGCGTCGTCGACACCATTAGAATAGTGCCAAGTACTACTCCACTGATGCCTGACAGGTATTTGGGTTCAGTGGAGAGAAAGGATGTCAGAGCGCCAGTGGTATGTTCGTCAAAAAAAGTCGTATCTTGTCGTAGTATAACCCTGAAAGTTTTGCTCCTAGTGCGGCGAAGTAACCTTTCTGAGCTGATTCCAAAACAGACGCCTTGTATAGAAAAGAGGACAAATTGGGCTATACCGAGGATAAATAACATGAGAGACCAAAAATTGGCATCCTGCCTGAGCTTCTTGTAAAGGGGCGGTGGTAGTGCCAATGTATTGATTCCCTTGGAATAGATAACAGCCTGAGAGGGCTGGCCACAGCCAGCCAAGATTGCAAAGGCAAGGCCAATGATAATCAATATAAGCTCAGGCCGATTAAAAGACGCGGTGAACTTGATCAGGTTCCATGGTAATAGATAATTTACAGCCTCGGTCATCTTTTCAGTCTGAGAGACGATTGATTGGTTGGCCAAATTTTGCTGCCTGGGTGTTGCCATTGACTTTTCATTGTACGTCGTCGTCTCGGATACTCCGCTTTGAGATGTTGGGACCCTGGAAATATTGTCTATAGAAATACCGGATTCTGCGGCTTCTTCTTTTTCCACAAACGCTTTTCTCTTGCCTTGGGCTTCGTTAAGGTTACCAGACTTCTGGGCTTCCACGAGGTTGAAATATTCGCCTTGTGCGCAGAGTAATTCTTCATGAGTCCCTTGTTCCGCGATCTTACCATCAACTACAACGACAATATTATCGGCCGTTTTTATGGTGGATAGTCGATGTGCAATTGTGATAGTGGTGCGCCCCTCGGCAGCTTTGTCGAGAGCAGCCTGTACAATTTCTTCAGATTTGGTGTCTAGCGCCGACGTGGCTTCATCCAGTAATAGAATCTTCGGGTCTCCAACGATCGCACGAGCAATAGCAATTCGCTGTTTTTGGCCGCCTGAGAGCAAGAAGCCTCGTTCCCCAACATGCGTGCCATACCCATCCGGCAGAGAAGTAATAAATTTGTGTGCGTTGGCCATTTTGGCCGCTTCTTCAATCCGATTTTGTTTCGCCTCTTCGGGCTCATTCTCGAATGGAGTGCCGGTCAGACCAAACTTTATATTTTCAAAAATCGTAGCGGAAAAGAGGACAGGCTCTTGTCCAACGAGCGAGATTTTGTTACGAAGCCACCGAAGGTTTAAGGACTGTATGTTATGCCCATCCAGGAGGATCTCGCCGCCTACGGGATTGTAAAATCGTTCTACCAGCCCGATAATAGTGCTCTTCCCAGAGCCAGAAGGTCCCACAAGTGCAGTTGTACGACCAGCTGGAATGAGTACACTTATGTCATCCATCACAAGGATATCAGGTCGAGAAGGATATCTGTGTTTTACGTTTCGTAGTTCAAGGGTACCCTCAACATGTTTGAGCGTTTCTCCGTCTTCAGCCGCTGGATCAAGAGGCGATTGGCGATCAATAGTGCTGTATATTTTGGCTGCGGCAGCCACAGCGCTATTGAAAGCCTGGCTGTTCGGAGCAACGTTTCCAAGTGAGTAAGAACCGGTGAGAATAGCCATAAGGATGGTCAAAATCTGACCAATGTCGGCCTCCCCATTGACTAGAAAGCGCGATCCTTGCCAAAATCCCAGACCATAGTTCCAGAACATTATAGCGTAAAGAGAGCCGATCATGACCGCTTGGATGATTTGCATTTTGATACCGGATCTTTCAGCTGCAATTAAATGCGAATCATATTGTCGTGCAAGCCTATCGTGGGTTCCAAACGCGGTGGCCGTTCGGATAGAGCTTATGACTTCTTCGGCAACAGTGCTGCCGTTGGCAAGGCTTTGAAACGACAGCTTACTGTAATGAATAATGAAATTAGAACCTCCACTCATGATCAGTAGCAAGCATACAATTGTTGATGTACAGATGAGGGCCAGTTTCCAATATGTAGCGTAGGCAATGATGAATGCGGTAATAAATGTGGCAATTGCTGTGAGAGTAAGGCCAATCTTTTGAGATATGCCATCTTGAATGAGATTGGTGTCAGCGGTTATGCGTGTGGTAATCTCACCAGCTCCAAGATTATCGAAAAAGGCAATATTCTGACGAAGAATAGCTTTGAGATATTCTTGCCGAATTTTTTGAGTGATATGCTCTCCGGTATATATAAAACCTACAGTCGAGACGTAGACTGTTGCGAATTCGGCAATGCCGATGTAGACAAAGTACAGAACATTCTTATTCAATTGCGCCTCAAAATCATGATACGCTATAGTATTAAGAGATATCCTCTGAAATGCCGATGTTAATTGCCCAAACAGTATCTGCGCAATTAACTTTAGGTCAGTAAACACATAGAGAGAGAGAGACATGAAGGGGGTAATCACTTTAGTATTCTACATACGGATAATAGAGGAAGTATAGCACCAGCAGCAATAGCGCAAAGAGCACTGATGGTGATGATGAGGCAATCCCAAACGTCTGCATAACGATAGAGCGTAAAATAGTTTACGCCGACATTGGGTGAGTCAAGCTGAGCATTGATGATCTGCGTCTCATCTAATTTTAAGCCGGCAAGAGTTGATTCGTGATGAGGTGATTCCGGCAGCGTGAGAACGCCGTTATTGGTTTCTTCATTACCATCAAGGCGCGATTTCAGTCCCTCGCGTCCAGCGACCGGCGGGTAGGTAGCATCAGCATCTGCCGCTTTCCTTGAAAACTTGCTGTCCCGCTTGCCAGGTGGCCTATCCATGCTTAGTTTCAATCTAGCATCAGAATACATGCAACTCTCATGCCCTTATCACTCTGCTGAACTTTAGTATGTCGTAGGGTACGGTGACTACATTCACATAGGCTTTATATGAAAAAAAGATAGATCTGCAATAAAGGTAACAATAATAAGGGGACTGAAGCGCATATATAAGCACTTGTATACTGCAGAAATGGGGCTCCTAAATTCTAGCGGGCACCTTGGAACCCTGTTGGAACTTTTGGTATAGCTCGATACTGTCCCGCCACACCCTACTGAGGTGTCTATATACCAAGTAATACAGGGCGAACCAAATATAAAACTAGTACCAAATGAAAATAAATACAAGTCGGACATATATAACACTTGTATATTTATTATTATAACTGAGGCTAGAAAAAAATTATTTGGATAATATATTTTAAAATATTTATTTATATTCTAATACTTAGATATTACTATATAAAACCAATAAGGAATTTTATTATAATAGTAAAATATACTTAAATAATATAAGAAACTATTAAACTATATATCCTGACTGATAAGTAATTTAATTTTTCTTAGATTTTACTGTATTTGTTATAATCCGACTCTTGTAGTTGCAATAACAGGCCTATAAGCTCCCTTGGATTTATAAACTTTCATAACCTAGTGTTTTAACAAGGCTCCGCGGCCTACCTTCTATATGAGGAAGGAAGCCGCAGAGAATTATTAAGCTAAGCTTCTAATAAATATACAAAATCCTTAGTTAATAACTATTATAATAACTGCTATAACTACCTGTAGTAAAATATATACAGTATTTTAAATTAACTTTTTTTAAAGTTAAATTAAAGCTATTTATATATTATAATATAACTGCTATAATAACTACTAGAATAACTTTTATAATAATTACTATAATAATTATAGTATTATAATTACTACTATAATTTTTAATAATTAATTATAAAATTTAATAATTAATTATAAAAATATATAGTTATATATAAAAGTAGTAATTAAATATAAAAGTTAATAGTTAAATATAAGGATTAGTAGTTAAGTATAAGGGTTATTATAGCAGTTATTATAGTAGTTATTATAGCAGTTGTTATAGCAGGGAGCCCTATAAGCAGCGCTGCGTATTTAATTTATACAGGATCCCGCGTAAATTAAATATACAGGATCCCGTATACCTATTGGGCGCTGTTTATATACTAATTATTAACTAATACACCCGCTATAAAAACCCTTCTTATAACGCCCGACCTTTCTTTCTATTTTTTTTTTTTTCATACCTCAATAGCCTTAACTTTATTTTATTTCCTCTTGTAAAAGTCCAAGTCTAAATTAAATATCCCAGTCTCCTTACTTCTTCTCACCCACTGCTCTCCGACCTCCTCCTCTGCAAGCTCTTCGCCGCGCCAACCATGGGTGGCTTCACCACTAACGCCACAATCAAGTCCTTTGGCGGGCGCTTCCTCAAGTTGTCGCACAGAGCCTTCCAAACCCGCTCGAACCAGAACTTCACTCTCTTCATTCCGCCCGGTGCGTCCGTCGAGAACCCCGCCCCCCTCCTCGTCTATCTGTCAGGCTTGACCTGCAGTCCCGACAACGTCACTGAGAAGGGCTTCCTGCATGCCCACGCCGCGCCGCTTGGCCTCGCCCTGCTCTACCTGGACACCTCGCCGCGCGGCACCAACCTCCCGGGCGAGCACGACGCTGACGACTTTGGCAGCGGGGCATCGTTCTACATTAACTCCACACAGCAGCCTTGGGCGAATCATTACAGGATGGAGGCATATATCACCAGGGAGCTGCCGGCGCTGCTGGCCGAGTATATCAAGGAGCTAGATATGTCCCGTGTGTCTATCGCCGGCCACTCGATGGGCGGTCACGGTGCGCTCACTTTGTATCTGAAGTATCCGGGAAGGTATAAGAGCGTCAGCGCCTGGGCCCCCATCGCAAACCCGTCCATCTGCCCATTGGGCCAGAAGGCCTTTGAAGGTTACCTTGGCGAGGACCGTGAGGTGTGGAAGAAGCATGACGCTACGGAGCTGGTCAAGAGCTGGAAGGGTGGGTCGCTGAACTGCCTGATCGACGTGGTATGTTGACAGCCATATAAGCTCGCAATGTGAGGGGACTGAGGTTCGTGGACTGACATTCCCTCAGGGCACGGATGACAACTTCTATAAGCAGGGCCAGCTGCTTCCGGAGAACTTTGAAACGGCTGTTAAGGAGGCTGACCTAGAGGGACTCGAGCTTCGTTACCAGGATGTATGTTGATCCACTGACTTTAGGCGTAACCTGTGCAGCCGCGGAACACTGACATCTAACCACCAGGGCTACGATCACTCCTACTTCTTCATCTCCACCTTCGGCGCCGACCACGTCAAGCATGCCGCCAAAGCCCTAGGTCTAATTTGAAGAGTGGACCATAAGTGAAACGGAATCTGGCCCAGAAATCTTCAAGATAAAATACATGCCCTGTGCTATACCCACAGCAAGAGAGGGAGGGAGAGAAAGAGAGAGAGAAACGAAAACACAGAGACAGAACACAGCCGAAAGCCCGCTTCGCAATGCCCCAAATAGAAATGCACAAGCCCAAAAATGTTTGGCGTGCTCTCCATGATGTTGTTGACCTTGTCCTGCATACTGCTGATCGCAATTGCACCTGGACGTCCATGAGTTAAGTAACGCTGGGGGAGCATAGTTACTGGTAGTGGCCTTTGCTCTCGGAAGCAGGAGGGTTTTGCTCTGTCCTGGTGCTGTTGTTCACAAATTTCGTACTCACTGTTGATATTTTTTTTTTTTTTTTCATAACGGCCTCTTGGTCGGAGAGGAACCAAGTCTTTTGGTAATAGTGCAGCATTATTTAAGATGTATAGAAGCGACCAAGATATACAGTATAGAAGAAGTATCTGTAATGCCCTAGCTATAGAGCTTCTACTACTCTCCTCCTGGCCAGCTTGTAATATTATAATACCTTTTTTTTTATACCCCTTAAAGAATTATAAGAAAAGGGCAAACTTATATATAATTATTTAACCTGGAAACCTAAAGCAGTTGCTAATTTTAAAACCATGTACCCTAGGCAAGTTTATTAATAATACTTTTTTACTATAGGGTAAGATTGTTTGCACTGCCTACTATATAAGAAATCTCTGACTTAGTATCCTACTGACTTTATATATACTTTTATATTAGTATATTATTATTGTATTTTTCTTTTATAATAAATACAGTAATAAACTATACTAGAGTTTATTAAACATTTATATATTTTATTTTAATATCCTATATTAAGTTATATTTCAATAAAAACCAAAGCTATTTTAACAGTAATACAATGTATAATTAATAAAAGTATTACTTTTATATAATATAATAAGATTTTAAGTTTTTATATATGTTTAAATTGTAAATAGCTTACTTATTCATTTTATGTTAAGTTATAGTACAGCTTAATAAAAAGCAGAGCTGCTTTAATGCCAGCAGGGGGTATAGCTTAATGCTATTGTATCCCTTGTATAACTTAATAAAGCTTATTAGCTGCTTTAATAGTAAAGCAGCCTGTTATTGTTTAGCAGTGCAAATAGGTATGTAGACCGCATAATGTAGTAGTTAATAAAGACAAAACAGCAAATATTATTAGTAGAGTAGCAATAAGAAAATTACAACTACATAAACACAGATCTGTAGAAGAGTAGCTATATATTATATGAAACAATTAGCTTACGTACTGTCTCTTTATATGCTCTTGTTTTTAAAATTTATACTTAAAGTGAAGTAATTCCATGAAGTAAATTAGCCAGTGTTTTATAATTGGTTTCAAAGTATTTGTATATTGTTTCTGTTGGTATAATAATTTATTATTAAAGGCGCACCGGCCGAGTTTCAGAGTACAAGAGAAATACATTCTATCTACTGCAATAATCATGTTCAAACCAATACTATATTTATGTCCCTATTGCTAGTAGATTATAGCATACAGTACTTTGGTTTACTAAGATTACCTAGGTAGGTACTTCAGTACTCTACCAAACCTTCAGTAATAATGCATATCAATATTATGCTATAATAATACCACCGAAGTCTCCCCGATTATTACACAATATTAACTGAGATATCTCCAAGTATTACAATGAGTAAAAACAATATTTATTTCCTCTCTTTAAACCTGTCTAACAGTCTAACAGAGAGGTTAAGCTTATGTCGCTATTAGCTGAGACTATGCATGTCCAGCGTTATTGAAGGAATTCCAGTGGTAAGTCGGGTCCTAAAATACAATTTCGAGTTAAATATTTTTTTTTCTTTTTTTTTTTTTTTGGTTAAATCTACACGAAATAGTAAAAGGAAGTAATAAATAAAATTATACATACCCCAAACATGGAGATTACCCGGTCCTGCTTTACTTCGGTTTGTCTTGTGACTCGAGTTGACAAGGTCACCATCGACATAATGTTCCACTATAAAGCGGGACGGATCAAACCTGCATATTTTATACTTAACTCGCCTGGACCGGGTCAATAATTATACATCCGGGTGTACATACCAGTAATCGAAGATTTGACTACCCATTACATGCCTGCCAACTCCCCAGCAGTTCTCATATCCCTTCTCACGAAGGTAATCGTGACCAAGAAGCTGTGTATCAAAGTCATAAGTCTCATAAGAAGAATGGTGAACGTGCGACACGGGTCCCTCGAAGAAGAAGAAGCAATGATGATCCACTAGCTCCAAGCCCCGATCGAGATGCAAAAATGTTGTAACATCTCGGCCATAGTCGTCGTAAACCAACTGTATCATGTCAATATACAGAAACAAACAATATGTCTAGGAAATAACTGACGTCGCTCGGTCTAAAATTGAAGCGGGAGATGTAAAAGTTGTACGTCTTGGCAAAATCCGTCACACACATGCCAAAGTGGCCAAGCTTATGTACGGGAGCAGGTCCTATGGATGTTATTTCCCATGATAGGGCCTCCGGATACTTTGGTATAGCTTACCTTTGTTGAATCTTTGGAATTGATTCCCCGGCCTCGTCTTCTCATCTGGCTGGCTGTAATTTAGTACAAGATACCAAACAGAGAGAGGATCTATTTACAAAGTTGAACTTGATCTTTTCGCGCACCGTAGGCCTGGTGTCTATGGGTGCTTGCCCCCACACAAGGTGGAAAGGGTATCCGTCGACGGGGTCCTCAAAAGTCACCCGAAGGCCACCGCCCGGCTCGTCTTTGAGTTTCTGAACGGAGGTGGCATTTGGTAATGTTTTTGATGCATATTCCAAGTCTTCCACGCTTTCTACAACAAACGCCGCACCACCAAACTTGTCTGCTGGGCCCTCTATAGCGCAGTAGACAAACGGCTCCGACCCAACACCACGGTAGTAGGTATTCAAGCCATTTCGACTTACCTCTTGAAATCCAAAGGCTTCTAGAAATTGGCGGGCTTTCTCAATATGTTTATGAATGTAGTACACGTGGGCAATCCGCACGAGATTAATCTTGCGAGTCACTGGATTCGACGCTTCCGCCATTGTTCCGGGAATATAAGAGGTTGAGTAGGAATGACGAATGGTTCTACTTCCATAAAGCTCCTGGCTCTTAGTGGTTCATCGAAATTATAAATAAGAGCAGATTTCGGAGGTCTGGCTGCCGAAGGAGTGTGATCAACTGAGAATTCTCTTCAAACATGCCTCGCCCATGATCTATTCAATTGATGCAAAGTCCTAGGGGACGCCCTGTGACGTGGAATCAAGATGGGCCGAAATTCTCCCCATGTTCACTTAAGACAAGTATACAAACTTGGACTGTAGTGCCCCCTGTCCAGGCTGATGCAATGGCGGACAGATTTCGGGGCGACTTCGCTAGAATTCCCACTTCGACTCTATCTCGCATGTCCACCCACTAAATATTCGGCAAGCGTATTCAATGTGTTAAGAAATGCTCGTGCGGTGCTCATAAAATAGTGATATTATGATATATTGAATGGATGTGTCTCTGGGATGTTAATTGCGGTTAGGATGAGTTGCAGTCTATCCACAGTGCCGAACTCTGATGCCTCTTGGGCACGTTTGCTGATCGATTCGCAACTATCCTTCAAACTTGCGCATGAGATATCAACTGTTGCTTACGCGCAGTTGCCATTATTCTTCCTTGCGTGCACCTAACTCACGGGCTGAAAACACGAGACTGGGTACCATGGCTGCTTTTAACAGAACAACGAACTTCCCAGCTGTATACACTGACGGCATCAATAACGCCAATGGCAGAAGCTATTCGACGGCTGCAGCCACTGATAAGGACTCGGTCACAGATGTAGATACCGAGTTCTTGGTCGTAGGCTGTGGGCCAGCAGGCGCCTCTTTAGCTTGCTTTCTGACATCGTACGGTATGTTAGCCGTGTTGATAGCAAAGTCATATCGCCGGCCAACTAATAGATACGTGATGTCAGGATTGAAAGGAATCATGATTGGAGCAGTTCCCGGAACTGCCAACACCCCTCGCGCGCACATCACTAATATGGCAGCTGTCGGTGAGTTCCCAAAGAAGGCTACACAAACAAGTAGGATACTAATAACTCAACGCCAACACAAAGAATGTTTACGAGACATTGGGCTAGATAAAGACATCGATCAAGTGTCTTCAAAGGGGCACTGCATGGTTCACACCAGATGGTGTCATAGCATGGCTGGGGAAGAATATGCTCGCATTCATTCTTGGGGCAACGACCCGACGCGCAAGGTAAGAATCGCAAGCGGCTTGTTCCTTCCCTTGATACTGACTAAGGAAGGGGGATTACGAGCTTGCAAGCCCATGTGACCCTACCGACTTGCCCCAGACACTTCTGGAGCCGATTCTCATTCGTCATGCTGTCCACAATGGTTTTAAGGTCCGATTCGACACTACTTTGCTGAAGTTTACAGAGGACGAGGAGACGAAGATCATCACAGCCACTGTACAGGACAAAATTTCCGGCCAAGAATATCATATTCGGACGAAGTATCTCTTCGGTGCTGATGGCGCACAGAGTCGAGTTGTCCAACAACTTGATCTACCGCTCGATCGCAAGCCTGGACAGGGTTTTGCCATCAATGTCCTCGTTAAGGCTGACATGTCCCACCTCGTCGACTCGCGCAAGGGCAACCTGCACTGGGTGATGCAACCCGACAAGGAACACCCGGATTTTGGATGGATAGGCATTATTCGTATGGTCAAGCCTTGGGACGAGTGGATGTTCATCTTTTTTCCCAGCAGATGTGCTGATCTGAACATTCAACCTACCATGGAAGAGTACCAAAAGCGTGTACGAGACTTTATCGGCGATGATACCCCTTTTGATATACTGAATGTTTCTCGTTGGTTTATCAACGAAGTTGTTGCGGATACGTTTTCAAAGGGCGATAATATGTAAGTCTGTCCAGCGCCTTACCTTTCGATTTGTAGGCTTTTAATAACCAATTCCTCTAGTTTTTGTCTAGGAGACGCTGTTCACCGTCACCCACCGATGAATGGACTTGGTAGCAATACCTGCATCCAGGACGCTTTTAATCTGGCATGGAAGGTAGCCTATGTCCATCGTGGCTACGCGGGTTCCTCACTCCTATCAACCTACACAACTGAGCGGCAACCAGTTGGAAAAGGAATAGTAACCCGTGCTAATCAGGCATTCCGGGACCATTTTGATATTTGGGATGCCATTGGTGTCTTGCCGTCCGATTTGAGTCAGCGGAAGCATATCTTCAATGAGCTCTCCGAGTTAAGCGTCCGAGGCATAGAACGAAGAAAAAGGTTAAGCCAAGCCATCCAAGGCACGACTCACGAGTTTCATGGACTTGGCATAGAAATGGGGCAGCATTACTCTGGTCAAGGCATCTACGATACGGACGAGTCTGCGCCATTCAGTCTAGCTGGGAAGGCAGCCATAGATCCTGTCTTATACTACAATCCAAACACCTATCCAGGTTCACGGCTGCCTCATGTATGGTTGAACAAGGCGGTTCCCACTACCCCTGTTTCTACCATTGACATTGCGGGGAAGGGAAAATTTGTGCTCTTTACAGGTATTGGCGGTGATGCGTGGAAGGGAGCCGCTAGCAAGATCTCGGCCGAACTCAGGGTGCCGATTGATGTTCATTCAATTGGCTTCCGCCAGGACTGGGAAGATTTCTACTTTGATTGGGAGCGAGTAAGAGGCGTACAGGAATCCGGGGCAATACTTGTGCGGCCCGACCGGTTTGTGGCTTGGAGAGCGGATATTATCCTGGGAGATAGCGAAGCCTGTGCTGCTAAACTCAGCGATGTAATGACTTCAATTTTGGGGTTGTAGAACATTTTTTTGACGCTAATCGCAAGCTTTAACTCAATTTACCGCTCCAATTCTAAGCCATCGTTAAGCCACAACAATATACAGAATCGTCGTTATGGGAATGGCCTTGATATGTTGTCTTTTCCTATACCACACTCAATTTAGGAGTCCGGGTTTCTCCATTAAATGCCACAAAACTATGGTATACTGTCTGACATTCTTATATAACAAATGTAAGTTAGATACCGGGCGCGCTCTACAGTAGCACGTAGTTAGTTTTCGACACCTTTCATTTCCTTTTTATAAAGGCTAGCTGTATTAGGACGGCGCGATGCCGCTGCTTTATATAGAATTTAAGGCACTAAATTATAGCGCTTTAATTACTTTAATATAGCGCTAATATTGCTATAATATAGTAATTAATCTACTATATTTAAATTACTAATTTACTATAAGGTAGCGCTAGAATAAAGCGCTATATTAAGAGTTATAGGTAATTAATTATAGTTTATAAACCGCTGTATTATAGTAATCTATGCACTATAATATAGCAGGCGTATAGTGTTTTAAAAGCGGCGCTACTATTTTTACTGAAAAAAGCTAGTCTTAGATATTTAGTACCTCGGGGGGTCAAAAACTAACTACATGCTACTGTATTTAGATGGCCCGAGTTCTCTCGGCCGATAATATTGCGACACTCGGTCTATTATCGGCTTAATTGCGCACAATGAAATCACCGAGCTTTTCATCCTAATGGAACTTAGTAGCCAAGCGGATGAATGAACTAGTCAATGCTTGAGTCGCCATGCTTTCTCCCTTTGTCTTAAAGCGATCGGACTTAGTTACCTACAGTCCTCCCTTACAATCGCAAACGCCAGTCTCCATTGCTGATAAATTAAAGGTTAATATTACGTTACACATGGGAAGTGAATCACTCCGCTTTTCTCGCTCTGGCGGATGCAGAGACTCGATGGTCCATGTGAAGTTTCTTAAGACCGAACCTACTCCAACGCTTACTATTGGGGCCATGCATAATAATTACCATCCATTTTAACTCTTCATGAATCATGTTGCATCGGAGACCTTCAAGGATGAAAGGAGACAGATCGACTAAGACAATTTGCTACACAATACGCAAGGTCTTAGGGGCCCTGATTACAACCTGCATTGCTAGAACTTCTTTCCGTGGCTTTGTATAACACGAAGATGAAAAGTATGCCGACGCTAACGACAGCATTGTTGTAGTGCTACATTCCTTTTAAATATCAGCTAAACGCGCGGTGTAGTAGTCTATAGTAAATACGCATGGATGTCAAGGCGAAATAAATTCAATCTAAAGTTATATTTTAGGAAACTACAATAATTACTTTAACTTTATAACTTTTGTTTTTAATGTAATTTTTATCTATTTCCTTTATAAAATATACTATTTCAAAGAAAAATACCGTTATATTTTTTTAAAAAATACTATTATATTTATAATTAGAGATATTATAAAATAGTATTCTATATCAAAAATATTTCGAAACAATCATGTCTTCTATACAAACTCTCAATGCGTCGCAGTCGAAGCTCTTTACTGCTCGTGGTAGACTTCATTGATCAGTGTTCCAATGCCCTCGATATAAACTCTCATATCATCTCCGTGGCGAAGAACAATTCTTGGGTTCTTTACCATGCCAATGCCCGGACCAGTTCCTGTGAGGATGATGGAGCCTCTTTCGAGTGTTGTTCCCTGAGACAAAAAAGAGATCATTTGGGGAATATTGAAAATCATCTCCCTACTGACCCGTTAGATACCCGTTCACGAATACAATGGAAATTTATACCTCGTGTTTGTGTCCTGAACAACACTAGAATTGTATATTGCTTTGATGTTCAGCTGATGCGGATCTGGCATCGCTTCTGGAGAGACCAGCACAGGGCCAATCGGCGCAGAACCATCCATTCCTGTAATCCAAGTATTAATTGTCGATAAATCGACAATATTTACAAGGATCATTCTATGACTTACCTTTTCCAAAACACCACTGGCTGTTCTTAAGTTGCTGGTTCCTGGCACTAACGTCGTTTGAGGCGGTGTAACCCAGGACATATTTGTGTGCTTCCGATTCTGGTATATCACGGCCATCCTGAGAAATTATCACTGCGAGCTCAGCCTCATAATCAGCCGAGTCATCTTGAGCAATTTTTGGAATATTGATCTTGGCAGGGTATGGCCCATTGAGCGCAGTCCTAGGTTTGATAAAGAGGACGGGAACGTCTGGGATGGGCATGCTGGCCTCCTTCGCGTGGTCTCTATAGTTAAGCCCCAGGCATCGAATGATAGGCGTTTGCTCAATAGACAAAGGTGGTAAGAGCTGCAAATAAAGGTCACTGGAGATCATCATCAACGCAGGGGATCCGATAACAGGTACTTACTTGAGCGACATGCAATGTCTGGCTAGTCACCACGCCATCATAAACAGAGCCAGAAATAACTTGAACAGCCAAGTCTTTTCCCTCAAATGCAGCTAACCCTACATCAGGATTCGTATCGACATCGACCTGGCCGAGATGGACCTGACCGTCCTCTTTCGCGATGAAGCGAATCAGATGAGTCCATCGAGATCTTTCTACCATTTTTCCTTGCTAAAATTTTGATTAGTGGAAAGTAGTTAAAACTGTAAAGTAGTTGCGACTATTGAGGTTCGGAAGGGGGATAAATAATTGCGAGATACAGGGTAAAATAGTCAGCTGCCTTTAAAGCGTAATACAACACACTTCGTGGACAACCGAATCAGGAAATCTAAATTAACAGGGCTGAAAATTAGCGGCACAAAATAAAAAGCAAAAAGCTCACGCAGCTCTGCTGCAACCAATAACCAGCTAAGTTTCATTGGCCCTTATCTAGATCTCCGAAACCCACTTAGAGGGGTTCTACTGACCGGAGCATCTTCGCTCGAATTATCGGACAAAAACAATTTACAGGGTATTATACTTGCCTTAGGCGAAGTTAGCGCGAAAATAAAGATCCTTAGATTGACACACCCAGCATTGGGGGTTGCGGGGATCGACTTGGGAATACCTGACGGTTTACTTCTTGTAAGCGATGATGACTCTTATGTGACTGGAGGCAAGCTACCCGGTTACTTGATCTTTTCTACAGCGTCATTATACCAAACAGCGTTTTGGAGTGTCGACGGGACTAATTAGTTTGTAAATGGCCCTTCATGGCATGAGAGTGTGTTAGATTGCATTGGGCAAAAGAATGCACTGATATCGGTATATATGCCCTATTTCAACCCTGCTATAATAGGTGGCAATTATTAATACTAAGGAAGAAAACGCCAAGTTCTGTCCGATTGGTAGGAAAACAAGACTTAAATCAGGAGGTATAGTAAGAACCAAAGTCACGTACCAACAACACATCCAGGCCCGGGCACTAAAGCGGATAATTCGTAAGGATAAACAATGTTATAATAGTAAGCCCAGCCTCGCCTGCGTATTATTTTTTTGCAGACTATAACCATAGGAGAAAGAGAAATCTTACAATAAAGTCCGACAGTGGTTTTATTAGATATTCGCAAAAGAAAGCTCCTATAACGACATGGAAATTATCTTAATAGCTCTTTTAAGGTGGCCAAGAATTGAATAATTTCATTAGAGCAGCAACTATCTCTAGTAATCCTTGTTGTTATTATAACCTATTCTAAAACCGTAATCCGCTCCAGTTGGTTGAGAATTCAGATAGTAGATCATGAAAATCACTTGGCAAATCGAAATTCTTCCAAGGGGAGTTTAATGTGTTGATGTTGAACGTTTGCCAGTCTTCCGTTTCAATTGCATTATCCATACAATCAAGCATCGACACACCTCTGGTGCAATGGTGGTGAACCTGTTCACTAGGGGACGTGTTTGTGCCCGACAACATGGGTGATTTGCAACATCTCAAATCCGACCCATGCCGCATCTGAGGTAGTTGAGACAATGTCTGGGTATTTGTTGGAACCAAAACAGTCGATGGAAGACCGCCTAGTATGTTTATGGGCGGCGATTCCAGACAAGCCGGTGGTGGCCCAGCGCAGTTTGTAGTCTGAAGAATTCGCATGGCCTGCTTGTTTTGTTCCACATTACCTGCTCTTGTCAGTGGTCTCCTCGGATGATACATGGTGCTGGTTACATACTTTGTTTCTCCTGTAATGATAGGATGGTTTCGTTTTGTCTTTTAAATGTAGTGGCGAAATTCGACCTCGAAGATATCCAAGATTGGCGTCGCGGACGGGATAGTCTAATTTGTCGGGGATCTGCGCTGAAGGATCTGTTCGTTGACTCTGAATCCTCGAGCTTTTCTCCTTCGAGTTGGGTTTCCAATAATTCCAAATTCTGCTGCATAGCAGTTTCTGTGTTCCAAAAATCGACGCATTGTTTGTATGTGAGGTAGAGAACATCAAAGCGTGACTTGATGAGAGAAGTATTGGTAGAAAATCCACCGATACTGTTGCGAAATAGTTGCACAGCTGCAGCAAGCCAAATAGTGCTTGATAGGAAGGGATTAATGTACTGTATGTGGTCCTCGCAACTCCGATTCACAATATTGAGAATGCTGTCTGCTGCTTCAAAGTATTGCCTCAGAGCTATATTTTCTTGGTCCTGAAAATTCAAGACGCTCTTCCGAGCAGATTTGGACTTTGGTAACTCAATATGCCCGTTGAAAATGTCGTAGCGATAGATCATAAGCCGAGCTAACTGTGCCATTATATAAATGTTATAGATTGAGCTATGCAGCTGCCTCTTCGATTCAATTTGACCAGTTTCTCTTGCGTCGAAACTCAGGTACTGCTGACGATAACGAAGTGATTCAGGTAACGCTTGCATGAAACAGTGGATAGAGTTCATTAACGTCTCTAGATTCTGTTGCGATTCCTCGACTGAATTTGAATACAACTCTTTTGACATGAAAACAGTCGAGGATGCATTACGATTAGCTTCATTCACACACGGCACTCCTCTCGGGCAAGAAATCGTTTGAGCGTCCTTCATAAGCGAGTTGATGACAATAAACCACGCTTTGGGAGATTTGTTACCGCTATCCAACAGAGTCCTCCAGCGTGATGCTGGGTCCTGTTCCAAGAAACAACTTGTGACTGGCTGGCCCGAGTGCCAATATGCATCTAGCGCTGGGAGGAGAACTTCCATCTGGCACCAGTTTATAGCTGGTGGTGTTCTTCGTACCGTGCTGGCGAATACGTCCATTTCCCAAATAGCCCACCAGGCACGTCTTCGTTCTTCGTCTTCCTGCCATCGTCTCTCTTTATTTCGTTTGACCGCTTGAGTCGAATCTAGAAGATGCAAATTCAGCTCGTAAGCTAAGCGTACACACATTCCCAGTGACCTCCAAGCCCTGCCACGCACCCCTTGCGTAAGTTGACAGTGAGTTGCGATAACAAGGGCCTGTAAAACGCATAAAGGTGGGGTTTCATCTGCGCAGTCGCATAGCGCCTCATCGACAAGATGCAGGGCTAGGTTTACAAATTTCGAAGTTTGTTGTCCCTTGACCCGTTGACAATCATTCACCGATACGTTATCAGCTTCCGTGGGCAGGAATCGAGTAGCATAACCTGAAATCGCTGCCAGCAACGCTGATAACTGAGCAGCAGAGTCGATAGCATTTAATTTCGAACGGAAGGTAGGCTCATGGAAGAGGCTGAAGGCAACCATATTGTCGAAGTAAAGATGAAGTCTGGATTCCAAGAGTTACAAGAAAAGGACTAGATTGCGGATAATAAATCTAAATAGTAAGAAACAAGGAATGACTAGGCACTTACAACTCATCTATCTGATCTTCCGATAGCTCTAGAGTAAGGTAAACTTGCTGGTGTATGCTTTGTTTGTCAGCACTGCTCACGTGGATTGTATTACCATGCTCCTGACCTCCATCTGGCGTGGAGGTCTCGTGAGAAGGGTGCAGAATAAATGATAAGTCGCTCATATTTACAGAGCAGCCAATGTCCTGAGAGGTCCTATCCACCTCCTCGTTATTTGAAGAGTTAAGCGGTCTGCTCAGAGACTTCCCTCCAGATTGAGCATCGATGGCTGTCGCCTGTTCATTGTCGCTACTGCCGGTTACACCACTTTCAACCTCCTGTATGTCCTCCAAAGACGAGCAAGAATTAATGGATTCCGGTTGTATTAGCGTTGAATTTGAGCGCGATTGGATTCTTTCACGTCTCTTTCGACGTTGTAAGGTTCCTAGATATGTATCAGCATTCAAACTTCATTTAGTTGGTAACAGGTAGACTTCGTCTCGAGCCGCACATATTCTTCGCTCTTCGCGCCCCACCTACCAATCTTTGGTCCCGGCTTCAAATGGCGAGCAGGATATTGGCAACTCTGTAGAGTCCCTAAACACACCTGACATGAAGGCAGCTCGCGGTCGCTATAATCTTGATTAATAAGAAGCTAATGGATACGTTAAAACTGGAAGCCAAACCATTTAACCTTCCGCCTATATAGAAAGACACTGATTAGAATTGTAGTTAGAATTGGATCTCAGTTAGTATTACTTACCTCCGACAGGACTGACAGGCGATGCTGGACTTGGGGTCACTACCCTGCCCGCCTCGATCGGCATTGGACCATATCGAGGACATGTTTATCTTGTCTTGTTAATAAATAAAGCACATGGCCCTAGATTAATATACATGGCAGATTATTAAATTGGAATAGCACGTGTCTTGTATTAAGACACCGATTATAGGATGTATTACTAATGATTATCTAACAATTACAGAACCCCGCTTCTCCGCATCCCCCGGATTTCATGTCTCCACTTAATAGTATTTGGTTTAGTACAACAGTAATCTATATATCTCCTTTCTTTTTTATATAAGAAATTGCTTTTTATTTTCTTTAGTAATTTATTAAGTAGAGAATATGCTTTTAAACTAGCTTATATATATATATATATATATATTTTATTAAATATAAAACAGTTTAACTTTTTTTACCTAAAGTATTTAAAAAAAAAAAAAAAATAAGCTATACTTTCTTTATTTATTTACTAAAACTTAATAATTATAAAAATTACTAAAAACTAATAAAAAAAAACTAGTTTTATAGCCCGGCCTTCTAAAACTTAGATTAATACTATATTTCCCTTTATTTTAATAATATATAGCAAATACAGGATCTAAACTAGCAGCTCTTACCATCCTATTGCCTAGATAAGGCTTTATATAACTAGCTTACTTAGTGGACGTTAATAATAAAACAAACAAATAAACAAGCAATTTGTTGTAGTATAAAGCTGTCCTATGCAGCTCGGTTAGGGCGGGCGGATAAAAAAAATCAACGCTAAAGGATTCGCGCCTTACGATTGACACAAGGTCCTGCAATTCATGCAAATAACTACATCTGCAGTATAGTACTCAAATATAACAGCCTCCCTTGCGTCTTGCTATTCAATACCTAGCTGCATTATTGAAAATTGTACCGCTTAGAGCCATCATGCCTCTCCAGGTTTTACCACTAAGTGTTTCAGACTTTGAACAGCTTATTCACCATGCAGACTTCGGCGAGCCTGGGGATGATTGCGTAGCACCTCCTAATCCAGTGGCATGGCCTGTCACTACACGGTCTGAAGCACAATTACGGGCTCGCTGCGCCTTTTCTCTCCAGAAGCGTCGACTCTTACGTGACCCTACTGTGCACTTCCTGAAGGTTGTTGACAAGAAGGGGGCTGGCAGCAATACAGGTGAAGATGATATCATCGCCGTTGCCCGATGGCATCACTACCCTCAAGGCTATGATTATGATCTCGAAGCAACTTGGGAGATGGCTCCCGAAACCTTAACGCCTCTTTTGCCCTACATGATCAATGAAAGTCCAGAATCACTTCTGTCGTCCTATCCACCATCCAACTTCAACCTCGCCTTGCACAATTATATCCTCTCCGAACGCGACGCCTTTCGTTCACAATGGATTCCACAACGAAATCCATGTTGGCTTTTGATGCACCTAACAACACGTCCTAGCAATCGAATGCGTGGAGCAGCGTCCTTGCTAATTCGATGGGGCCTCGCAAAGGCCATTGAGGCAAATGAGCCCGCTTACTTGGAAGCTGGGGCGGCTGCCAGGCCAATCTACGAGAAATTTGGTTTCAAACAAGTTGGGGAGCTTAAAAAATTGGATTTGGGGTTTTATGGGATGGACGCTTACTTTGAACTCTCGAATATGAAGTATGATCCGCAGGGAGCAATTAGGTCCTAACAAATCAGAGTTAAGCTGGTGTAAATGAGTTGGAGTAGGGTTTTCAACCTGCGTCAACTGTCATATATCCTTAATGTAGCGAACAATACAAATACAATAGCAGCACATACAGCATATCTAAATCTTTCAGCAGTCTCTTGGCGGAATAGTTGCCGGCTTAGAAAGCTGATTGTCGCAGAGAATCACACTCCGCTACTCCAGCTGGCGCCCCTAAAAACAGACAGCAAATAGTTACAGCCGATAAATCCGACAACGAGGGAATAATACTGTAGTAAAACTTCTAATTAGCTCTCCGGATTTTAGTTAATCCAGTCTATCTTGCCCTATAGGATCATGGTTGTGGCCTGAGGTACTAGATTGTAACAGTAACTGCATTTAAACAATAGATATTGCCCAATATCTTTCTCTAATCTTTCTTTTATATTATTTGTATTTTCTTATTTTGCTGCGCTGAATTGCGCAAAGCAAACGCTCCCCCCTATATCCTATCTAATGCGAGTGGCTGTTATGCCTCCCTTTACTCAACCAGTAGCCGCGGTTTTTGGCGGAACAAGAATCGGCAACAGAGACCAGTTTATGCCCCATACCCATCTCGAGACATTCTTACAAACATTAACTCGACACCACGTTACCAAAATTGATACAGCACAGGTGTCACAAACCAACTACATAAGACCCATGAAGTACGTACCTCCGGCAGAACCTCGGAACTAATAGCCAATCATAGCCAAGGAAGGATAGCTCACCTATAAAGAAAGCATTAAAAAAGTAAGCCTACAACACCAAGGTGCTAGGCTTACTAGCTACTTGAATATATTATAAAGTAAGCTTATAAAATAATTTATTATATAAAACTATTTATTATATATATTAAATATAGCTTAAATAATTAATTATTAATATAGTATTTATATAATAATTAAATTAAACTTTTATTTAAAGTTATTAACTATATAACTAAAACT